GAACAAGCTTGCCCCATCTTCTCAATAGGACACCCCTCCAAAATACTTAAACAGGGCTATCATATCATCCCTTAACCATCTCTTCTCTAAGCTAAACAGACCCAGTTTCCTGTTGTCTCTCCTCATCGGACCTTATCCCACGCTGCTCTCAAAAGTGGCAAGAAAGCGATATGAGCATCATTGCAGTACTATAGCGCTAGTATAAATATGGCGCTAGCGCTATAATAGCGCTATGGATAAGGTAGCGATATTGCAATGCCCGATGAAAACAGGCATTCAAAAGAACCCGAATGATGCTGCATTCCCAGCGGTTTCTTGTTGGATTCTGAGCGACTTCGTGTAATCACCCGGAAAACTATAGCGCTATAGCGCCTGATTCTTAGCGGATTCTGAGCGACGTCGTGTGATCACCCGGAAAACTATAGCGCTATAGCGCCTGATTCTTAGCCGATTCTGAGCGACGTCGTGTGATCACCCGGGAATGTATAGCGCTATAGCGCCTGATTCTTAGTGGATTCTTGCTGCTTTTGGCCCCGTGGGATAAGGTCCATGGTTTCCAGATCTTTCACCATTTTAGTCACCTTCCTCTGGACACACTCCAGTTTTTCAACATCCTTTTTGAATTGTGGTGCCCAGAACTGGACACAGTGTTATTCCAGGTGGGGACTGAGCAAAGCAGAATACAGTGGCACTATTATTTCCCTTGTTAGACACTATACTTCTGCTATTGGAGCCTAGAATCACATTGGCCTTTATAGCTGCCGCATCACACTGTTGACTCGTGTTCAGCTTGTGGTCTACTAGGACTCCTAGATTCCTTTCACACATATAAGTCTCCTGAAGCCAGGTGTCCCCCATCTTATATCTATGAATTTCATTTTTTTTTTTGCCTTAAGTGCAGTACCTTACATTTCTCTGTGTTGAAATTCATTTTGTTAGCTTTGGCCCAGCTTTCTAATCTATTCAGGTCATTTTGAATTTCCATCCTGTCCTCTGGGGTATTAGCTATTCCTCCTAATTTGGTGTCATCTGCAAATTTGAGAAGCATGCCCCCTATTCCTTCACCCAAATCATTGATAAAGATGTTGAATAGCAGACTGGTCCCAGGACAGAACCCCACTGGACACCCCACTGGTCACTTTTCTCCAGGATGATGAAGAAGAAGAGCCATTGCTGAGCATCCTTTGGGTTCTTTGTTGTAAGTCATTACATGAACATATATAGTGGGCCCTTGGTATCCACTGGGGTTCAGTTCCAGGACCTCCTTCAATACCAAAATCCATGGATGCTCAAGTCCCATTAAATACAATGGATTGTAAAATGGTGCCCCTTACCAGTATACAAAATAAGCAAAATTAAGACTTGCTTTTTGGAATGTATATATTTTAAAATATTTTCAAGCTGTGGATTCTTAAATCCATGGATAAAAAAAAAATCCATGGATATGGAGGACCAACTGTATGCTGTACTAGCATTGCCAGGGGCATCACACAAGGTGTGTGTGTGTGTGTGTGTGTGCGTGTGCGAATTGCACCAGGTGACACCCTAGGTCAAGTGGAGGGGAGAGTACATGCAGCATCCAGACCCTAGGGAAGTTGCTGTATATACCCATGTGTAAGTCTAGAAATGTTGGTCAAAAAAGTGGCCCCCAAAAAACAGACTTACCCGCAGGTCAATTTGAATTGTTGTTGTTGTTAACCACCCTTGAGTTGATCTCAACTCACAGCGACCCAGGGATGAGACATCTCCAAGAACCCCTGTCCTCCATTGCTCTGCTTAGGTCCTGCAAAGTCATACCCATGAGTTCCTTAATGGAGTCCATCCGTAGTGTGTTGTCTTCTTCTCTTTCTCCTTCTCTCCACCTTTCCAAGCATTATTGTCTTTTGCAGTGAGGGGTGCCTTCTCATGATGTGGCCAAAGTACAGCAGCCTCGGTTTAGT